TTTCTTTCTTTCTTTCTTTTCTTTCTTTTCTTTCTTTTTCTTTCTTTCTTCTTTCTCTTTCTCTTTCTTAATTTCTTTCTTTCTTTCTTTCTCTCTCTCTCTCTCTCTCTCTTTCTTTCTTTTCTTTTCTTTTCTTTTCTTTTCTTTCCTTTTCTTTCTTTTTTCCCTTCCTTCCTTCCTTCTCTTTCTGCCTGCTTTGGGGAGCCAGTTATCAAACAGCGGCACACCACTCCATATGTGACCAGGGTGACCTCCGTGTTTCAGTTACACCAAAATACGAAGAAAAGCCAAAAACAGGCGGATAAGTGGTCCGTTTTAAATGTTTGTAGTTAACGGAATAACTCGTTTATACTCTAAAAAAATCCTCAAGGCAATAGAACCATGTTACAAGGTCACTTATTTTATGACTATTATCGATGCTTTATGGGTTGACTTGTCCAATAATGAGTCACCAGTGTGAACATGTGTGAAACACATCATCCATTTCCGTGTCGTCCCTGTTTTTTTGTGACTATCTGAATAAACGGTGCCAGGCGCCGTTCTAAGCCTTCTGTGATGTCCACCAAATTAATCCCCTGATAGCCCTCTGAGGTAGTTCCCATTACTTTTCCCTTTTTGACCAGATGAGGAAACTGAGGCACAGAGGATTGAAGTAACAAGTCTCAAGTGACAGCGCCAGTAGGATCATGTCAGAAGTCTAAAAATGAGGTCTTTTGTGACCGAGCTCGAGGCCAGGAATGCACCCGCCCCATTCCCCAGCCCCTAACCCCATCCTCCGCCTAAATTGTCCCACATGCAAAAAGACTTCCCTATCAGGGGGTTATGTTGCCACCTCAGAGGTTCCGGGTCCCGGGGCATGGGTGCTGCCCCCCTCCCCTACGAGCACCATCCCACACCCCCAGCACATGCACACACGCTGCCAGATCATGCAAATATCCCTCACTCTCTCCTCCTTTCGCTGCTCTCTCCCCGGCCTACCCCATCCCTCCGTCCCGCAGGCGAAATCACCACCACCTCCCTGCTTGACCGTGAGACCAAGTCTGAATACATCCTCATCGTGAGAGCCGTGGACGGGGGTGTGGGCCACAACCAGAAAACCGGCATTGCCACTGTGAGTGCCCACCCCTCCCCCGCCCCCTGCTCCCCACCTGCTGCCCAGGAGCTGCTCCCTGGCCCATCTGCTGGTCCAGCCTGTGTCCTGGTGCATTGGGAGTGGGGGGAGGGTGGCAGATACCAACTCACTGTCAGCCAAGGTCAGCCCTGGGGCCACTGCGGTGGGCGGGAAGAAAGGCATTCCCACCAGGGATGTGAGGGACTCAGGAGGGGCAAGTGTTCCTCCCCTGTCCCCAAAAGACCGGCTGGGCAAAGAGCAAAAGGATGAGCTCCAGAGGCCCCTCCCTCGGGGCTCCTACAAGGAGAAGGTGTTCCTGCCAGAAAGAGTGGCTCCGAACAGGAAGCAGGGCCTTAACCCTGGTGCTGAGAAATGATGCCTAGGTTTCCCTACCAGGAGTAAGTAGGGTCCATCAAGGCCCAGAACCCCCATCCAAGCTCTTGCCATCCCACCAAGGTGCCTCAGATACAGGAAGCTAGAGAAGGGACATCTGAGGGTCCTGACTGAGCTCTGGGCTGTAGAAGAGAGCGGGGGGGCGGGGGGCAGTGAGAAGCAGGAAGCCCCCCCATGGGAGAGGAAGTAGAAAGACCCGCTGACAGGTCCCTCTAGCCACCTGCCCTCCTTGATCCTACTTGCTTTCTCTGGCTCTCCCTCAGGAGCCCTCCCCGACCTCTCTGCCGGCCCTTGCCCTACCACAGCAGCTGTCCCCCATTCCAGTTCTCCCCCGTCCTTGCCCGGCCAGAGGGGTGGGGGTCTGTATTGCTTGGCCAGGGACTTGGCAGAAAAATCCCCAGAACCCCATTCCATCCTGGGAGGCCCCTGCTAATAGGATTCGGAGCCCTATAAATAATTCACCTGGGTGGCAGGTGAGCAGGGAAATTGCTTGGCTCATAGCCGAGACTGACGGAATCTCAAGGGATCCTACCAGACCCCTGACCCTGTCCGTCCCCTTCCACCAAGCCTGGGACAGCTGAGAGATGTCCCCCATTACAGGAAGAATTTCAGGGGTCATTGCATTCATTCCTCTCCTTCCTGATAGCACAGCACCTAGACGCTCTTCTCCTGGAGGGACCTGGCTCCCTCCTGTGCTAGAAAGCCCAGGCCCTGCCCCAAGGCCTCCAAGGTGGGTGGAGCCCGTGGAATTCCTGCTGGGATGCCCCACAGGCCCCTGAGCGTGCCCTCTTGTGCGCCCTGCCCGTCCCTGTACCACTCAGCCAGGCACCTCCCTCTCTGCTCCTCGTGGCCCCACAGGTGAACATCACCCTCCTGGACATCAACGACAACCACCCCACCTGGAAGGATGCCCCCTACTACATCAACCTAGTGGAGATGACCCCTCCAGACTCCGACGTGACCACAGTAAGTGGTGGTGGGACAGCAGAATTCCAGGCTGCCCTTCTCAGGGTGTCTGCCATTCCCGCGTGAGCCCTATGGGCCGGCCCATGTGGGACCGACGGACTTCCTGTTTCCCTCTGAGCCAGCCCACGGAGCAGACTTCCGGAAGCTCTCTTTCGTGGTGGAAGGTAGTCAGAGGCTGGGGGAAAGCCGTCACCCGGCCTCAGAGGCAGTGGGCTTCTTCGGGCTTTGTCAAAGGGAGCACAGACAGCCCAGGGACAGTGCCCAGGCAGCTAGGGCTGGTTCAGCTAGAAACCACACTTGCTGAGACCCCAGGACTCTGTCTGTGCGCACAGGAGTGCCCTCACCCTCCCCTGGCAAGGCGCCGGCCACCTCCTCAAGTCGCACAATGTAGGCTCTGTCCCCCCACCTTTCCTTCACCGCTTCTGTTCCTGACAGGTTGGCCCCAGTGGGGTGTTTGAAGTTCACCCAGGGATTTTTCTGGCCTGGAATATTCCAGGTTTGCCTAGGCCCCTGTATGCGCTGCGTGCAGGGATATGCCTCAGAGTGGGGAGCAGGGGAGACGTGGCCAAAGTCTCAGGAGTCTGGACTGGAGCCAGCATCCTGGGGAAGATGAGGAAAGCCAAGATTGAGCACCCCACTTGATCAGCTCTGGGGTTCACATTTGTGAGGTCATCTCCTCCCCTCACCCTTGTGCACCATTTGGCTTCATTTGAGGTGGTCTGTCCCCAGGGTCCAGCCCCATAGCCACTCAGCCAGCGTGACAGACATGAGCCTGATAGTTCGTGGTCACCCCATGTATGGAATGCCTGCAGTGCGCCGGGCGCTGCCCGAGGCCTTCTCACCCTCATAATGATCTCACGGGGCAGGTGGACTCGCGGCTCCGGTAGTACTCTGGAGGAAGCTGGGTCTTGGAGTTTGAGGGGTCTGCCCAGGGTCCCAGAGCTAGTAAGAGGTGGTGTCAGGACTTGAGCCCAGGTCTGTCTGACTTGAAAACTACCTGGCCCAGACCTCCATCTCTGCTGGTTCAAGGTGGCCTGGCAGGTGGCTCAGGTCTTGAGTAACTGGAGAACGTGCGTGGGATGGGAGAAGGGAGGGAAAATTTCGCATCCAGCAGTCCAGGAAGGCTGCCCCACCCTGGTGAGGCCTAGCCTCCCCACCTGACCCCTCACCAAACACAGCCAGTAGGGACGGAGTCTAGACGGCGGCAGATGTCAGCCTCGAAGGAAGCCTCCCGTCCTCCTCTCGCTATCTGAGTGGCTCTCAACTGGTGGGTGGGTCCGCCTCCCAGAGATGCCAGTAGGGCCTCGGTCAGGGATCTGGAATCTCCCTTTTCTGAAGGCCCCGTGGGAGGATTCTTTCAAGCAAGGGGCCGGGGGTGGAAACCACTACTTTAGGCCAGTTCTCCAGCTCTCTCCAGGGCTCGCGATCCCGTGGGTACTCTCTGCTGCCATCTCGTGGGCACAACTCCAACCTGGGACCCCAAAAGAGCCTACCTCAGAGCACCTGTCTGGTCAACTCCTACCTTTGCTTTATGTCTGCGAAAATCCTCCCCGGGGGAACTGAGGGGCAAGTGACACAGGTGTCCCTGGGAGAAAGTGGCTGCATGGGACACCCGCCAGGGGAGGCCTTTTTTTTTTTTTTTTTAGATTTTATTTATTTATTCATGAGAGACAGAGAGAGAGAGAGAGAGAGAGAGAGAGAGAGAAGCAGAGGGAGAAACAGGCTCCCAAGGAGCAGGAAGCCCGATGCGGGACTCGATCCCAGGACCCTGGGATCATGACCTGAGCTGAAGGCAGACGCTTAACCATCTGAGCCACCCAGGCGCCCCTTGTGGGGGAGGCCATTTTTGAAGAACCCACCTGCCAAAGAGGTTTGCTGGACTGGGACTGCCCTTGGCCTTGAGCAGTTCCCCGGATCTGGTCCCCAGGGGTCCTCTCCGGGTCTCCGGACTTCCTCACAGCCTTCTGAGCCATTGGCAGGTGTGGACAACGGACCGGAGGCCTGCTACCCAGGGCCGCGTCACTCTCCAGGAACCTCAGCAGACCTTCAGTGGGCACCTGCTATGTGTGCCAGGCCCCATGCTCACCAGGCTCGGGAGTACAGAGAGCAGCAAGGCTCCCCTCCATGTTCAGGGGGCTTTCTGTCACTTTTCTGCTTGAACCCACCACTGGTTCCCATTTCACCCTGTGTTAAAGCCACGGTTCTTACCGGACGCACCTGCCCCAGCTTTATTTACCTCCGGGGAGACGGACATGTGAACCCACTGCTCAGTAAGGGATTGGCATGGCCGTTCCTCCCTGGTGTGGGGCGGCTCCAGGGCGGGGGCCCCCAAGTGTTTCAGTGTCTGAGACCTGAAAACAAAATGTCATGACTCAGAAGTTCAAACAGAAAAGGGTGAAGTCAGAATTAGAACTTGTTATATCAAACATCTGCCAAATATATTATGACAGTTAGCGTTTGAAAAATTTTCTTTGCATTATAAGGACAAGTTGTAGGTTAGATTTTCTAGAATTCTTAAGAATTTTTGGAATTCTCTGGAATTCCCAGTATGTGTGATGGTGGCCAGGAAACTAGAAATCAAGAAGCTCGTACAAATTAGTACAATTTGTCATGGCAAAATAATTTTAAAAGGAATAGTCATAAAATCCCATTAAATTTTATGGCTTGTAGGCATTTATATGTGGGTACTCTGTAATACCACTGGGGGCTCTGTGAGACCTTCTAAGGCCACAAGGTGGCCCCTGGGCGAGGTGGGGGCTGTGGCTGAGATGGAGAAAGGGAGTTCGGGGCGGGGGCGGGGGGGCAGCTGACCCAGGGGTGATGTTAGGGAGGAGGCTGTGTTTGCAGGGGGGCTGCCCACCTCCTGACACCTGTCCCACCACCCTTCCCACACTCAGTCCCCCCACCACGCGTGCTGGCCTCTCAGCCTCCGGAACCCAGTAAATTCTTCCTCCCCTCAGAGCCTCTGCACAGCCCTCCCCTCCCCCGCCCTGCAGAGCATTCCTCTCCCTCTACCCCCCACCCCTGCTTTTCCCAGGGTTGCCTCTTTCTCCTCTACCTGTCCCAGCCTAAAGGGCCGCTTCCCCGAAGAGGCCCTCCCTGCCCACCCTGCCTAACGTAGCTCTGCCCGCTGTCTACACTGTTTCTTCCAGAACTGATCCCACATCTGTGTTTTATTTCTTTATTAGGTTGTTAGCTTACTCAGAGGCAGTGTAGCTTAGTGATTCAGCGGGCAGCCTCTGGCCCCAAAATGTCTAGGGTCTAACCCTGGCCCCATTCCTTCCCAGCTCTGTGACCTTTGGCAAGTCACCTCACCTTTCTGTGCTCCGATCTTCTTCTCTAGAAAATGGGGCTAGTAAGAGGCCCCACCTGATAGAGTTGTGGTGCCTACTTAATGAGCCCCATGGTCAGTGGTAGATCCGCGGTAGCTGTTCTCACCACACCTCTCCTGCTGGAACCATACCCGTCCTTTCTGCTGTTGAACCCCAGTGCCTAGCACGGTGTCAGGCGCATTGTAAGAACTCAAATGTTAGCAAATGCTAGTTGTTAAGGGACTTGTTCACCTTCCTTCCCCATTTTACCTGCCCCCCGCCCAGCTCCGCCAGGTCCGGTCGTGTCTTCCTTGTCAGAGAGAGGTCAGGGTGTGTGCCCCATTACTCTCCCAAATGCCAATGACTTTTGAGAGCTGTGTGTAGACAAGCGTGTGCCTGCAACCCGGTACACCGCCAACTGTCCCAGCATGTGCTTCGGCACGCACGTCCGTGCGCCCAGGGTGTGCACCCGCCCCGGCATGAGCTTGCACCTTGGCCCTTTTCCATTTGCAAGTGAGATTTTTGGCCCAACCCTCCCTCCTGGCTCCTGTAGGCTCCTTCAAGGACCTGGCTGATGGGCATTGATTTAGAGCCTTTCAAAGCCCTCCAGCAAAATAAGAGAGGGGAGAGGGAGAGAATTATTCCCCGTCAGGCCAGGAGAAAAATGACAGTGTGACATGGGAAATGAAGAGGGAAAGTGGTGAGACCCTACACAGACTCTACACAGGTGGGGAGCCTGCAGGAGGGACCAGAGCCGGCAGCCCTCTCCTGTGCCCCCACCCCCGCCAGGGAGTGGGCTGAGAGGCGGAAGCCAGGGCCCAGCCCCCACCCAGGGTCCCTTGGAAGCACCTACC